CTAGGCCTATAGCAGCACAACCAGGGGTGGACTTACCCTAACTATAAGCTCTATCATAAAGGAAAGTCTTAAGCTTACTCTTAAATATAGAGACGGTGTCTGCTTCCCGGACCCAAACTGGAACCTGGTTCCACAAAAGAGGACTCTGATAGCTGAACGCTCTAGCGCCCATTCTAGTTTTCAAGACTCTAGGAACCCCAAGTAACCCTGCAGTTCTCTGGTAGGGCAGTAAGGTACTAAGAGCTCTTTAAGATAAGATGGGGCCTGACCATGAAGAGCTTTGTGCGTAAGGAGAAGGATTTTAAATTCTATTCTGGATTTAACAGGAAGCCAGTGCAGAGAAGCCAAGACAGGAGAAATATGATCTCTTTTTCTGGTTCCTGTCAGAAAACATGCTGCAGCATTCTGGATCAGCTGAAGAGTCCTAATGGACTTTTTCGAAGAGCCTGATAATAGGGAGGTGCAGTAATTCAAATGCATGTCACTTCTAGGTTGCCCCCTTCTCAGTGTCCAGGCGTCCAGCCCCAGTTCCCTCTATAGCCCCAGGTGGGGTAAAGCTGGGCCCAGAGCTCTCTGAGCTGTTCCTGCTGCCATATCTTTATAGCTTTCTGCTCCTCATCTGTCTTTGTCAGCACTTTAAGCCTGTGCTTTGTCTCTAACTGTAATCTTGGACTCCCTTTTTTAGTCAAGGGACTAAACCTGCTTCTCTTTGTCACCTGTCTCTGCTCCACATCCACAACATCTCTACCAGGAACCTGCTGTTTTGGGGCTCTTATTCCAGGCATTACCTGAGCCCAGGAAAGCTCATTTAGCTGCCACAACACGTAGACAGTTTTCCAGTACATACATCTCTGTACCATCCAAATGTCAAAAATGGTGTCAGCAAAAAACACAAATTGAAGAGGATGACAAAAGAAGCAGGGAGAGCAGCAGGCTGTCAGCAGAAGGTTTCTACAGGAGCATAAGATGGATACCACTGTTCCGAGTAATCAATAGGACTGGTTTCTGTTTTACTGGTACATGAGGTGCATTTAGCTTTCGAATAGCGTGATGATCAAGTGTTGAATTAGCCTGTAATAAGTCTACTAAGTCTACTTTTGTATGTCTTTAGGGTAAATTAAGTCTACAAACAGGATGGTTTTCATCTGCCTGACTGGGGGGACACTGGTGTGCAGGTTCCTAACAGGGAGCAGTGTGACTCACCCCCCCCCCCCCCTCTGTTCCCACAGATTGGGAGGCGCGTGTGGACAGCCATGGCCGGGTCTTCTACGTGGACCACGTGAACCGGACCACCACGTGGCAGCGGCCCAGTCACACCGGCAAGTGTAGCCACGGCATCCCCCGCTCAGGATCCACCCAGCAGATGGAGCAGCTCAACCGCAGGTCAGCCTACGCAGGACTCACAACCAGACTCACAACCAGACACACAACCAGACACACAACCAGAGGAACACGACCAGAGGCACACAACCAGA